TTTGAAGAAACCCCGGGACCTTGTCCCACTGGCTCCGTTGAGCTAGGTCAACGTTGGGTTTTGGACACTGTGTGACTACTGTGTGACTGTACGCAACAACAGAGATGCACGTCGTCCAAGTCATCTAGCCATCCGTTTTTAATAAAAAAGGCAATAGAGACTATCTTTGCTTTTGCTTACAACAAAAATAAGAAGTAAATCCTTTCTCTCGAATACTACTCCCCCTACCCTGGCCACTTTCCATTGAGATAGCTGTCTCCTTTTTTCCGAGACAGCTAGCTCAACGACCCTCTTGTTCCCCCCAAAGGCGTTTTTTTAGAGAAACTGTACGAGCCTCCTTCGGTTTGCCATTTTTGTACAAAAGAGATTTGGGCAACTCTTCATTTTCTGCTGTGGAATGGAAGTGCCGGTATGCCACTCCAATTGTGAAAAAAGAAAAACCAGAACAATTGTACTCTTGCCATTTATAAATGCATTTCTCATGTGAAATTGAATTAGAAATTAGAATGATTTTTTTTAGCTGTCGCACCGTTGAGCTGCCTCAACTAAACGGTGCAAGTGGGACAAGGTCCTGGGTTGATGCTAGAGGAGCTGATAAAAGCAAACCCCTCTAGCACTCCAAGGGAGGCTCCATCTATTGGTGGGGAGCTTCATCTGCTGGAAAACGGGTCCAGCATCCCATTACATTGAATTTGTTTATTAATGAGCCTGATAACATTTTGATGACTGCTGCCTGTCTGGGGCGTTCTTACTGGGATGGGGTGCTGGTGGTGTTTCTGGAGCCTGCTTTCCTCTAAGCACATGTTCCCACCGTCGACTGCCCTCGCACCTCTTCACCTTTCCTTGTGGTGCCAGATCTTGCCTGCCAAACTACAGCTGAGGTGCTTGTGCCATAAGGGTGGGCTGGGTGGGTGGGAGAGAGATTGACACCGCTAGCCTGGGGATAAACCCTAGACCCTAGCCCCCTTCCTAAACCTTCCTTTCTCTCTCCTTGAGGTCATCGATCCTTCCCATACCACTGCATTCCTACTAGACTGTTTGATTGGGGGTGGAAGAAGTCAGGAAATTCCTTTGGGGGTTTCAGAGGGATAGCCGTATCTTCTTTTTTTTTTTTTTTTTTTTTTTTATTTTAAACACGCCCCTACCAGTGTTAGTGCTGCTGATAAGAGCAGACACCACTAACACCTGGGGAGAGGCTCCATGTATTGATGGGGAGCATCACCTGCTGGAAAATGGGTCCAGCGTCCAATTAACATGAGGAAGAACGTCTGAGAATGTCTGAGAGAGGAGAATTAAGACTGCAGGGCCTGCCAGCATTGATTGCCCTGCAAGCAAGGGGATTGACTGGGCAGGCCAGTGGAGGAACTGAAATTGGAATACAACTGACACACAGTTGGGGGGTCCTGCCAGCATTGATTACCCTGGGGCCCAGGGGATTGACTGAGCAGGGTAGTGGAGTGGGGGGGGGAACCTCTTCACCATGAAGCCGGCGCCAGATACACATGTACCTGCTACTAGTCCCATTCCCCCCTTTTTCCAGCGAGTACTGCAGGTACGGGGGGCCAGTCCTCCCATCCATATCTTTGGTGGACTGGCCAGGTGTGAGGAGGGGTGGGGAGGCAGGTTCTGAGTTCGGGGGGCGACCGGGCAGAGACCTAATCCTCCTACTCCCTTTCTCCATCCTGGTCGGTCCCACCGGGATTGTGGTGGGCGGGCTCCACGTCTCTCAGCCATCCCGACTCAGCTCAACCAAAGTGTTATTGGATGGGGGGAAAAGATCAGGGAATTCAGAGACCGGGGTGTAGTGGGATGTCACTGGGGAATTCAGTCCATTTGTGGAAGAGCAGTCGATAGTCCGTCTGAGGTTTCTCCAAGCGATCGTTGCCATCCAAAGGCCAGCCATCCCATTGTATCCATGCAATCCGTCCCCCCTGTTCCACCCCTAACCAGTCCATGCAGAATTCGTTTAGTCTTTGAATAATGTCTGATCTTTTTGTGAGAGCTCTCATCCCTTGTACTGTCTTTTTCCACCGATCTCTAATTGCCGTTTCAATCATGTCTTTGATCATTTCAGTTATTTCGCCGCTACCAACGTGGGCATTTTCAAGTACTAGGATACATCTGCGACGCCATATGGCCCATAGCACAGCTTCCCTCCCAATCCTAAATAGGTTGGTTGTGAAGGTCGAAGGTTGAGCAGTCCAGTGCCCGGTTAGCAGGGCCCTCCATTCCCATGGCCAGTTTCTGTCAGTGTCTAGTTGGTTCCAGACCCGGACCCATCCCCGCCATGTAAGAATAGAAGCAGGGCACTGTAGGAAGAGGTGCTCTATCATCTCGTTAATTTTTCGAGAGGGGAAGCCCTCCATGCATGCATAGCACAGGTGGGTGTGATCGATGAGCCATGCATTCGTCGGAAGGCAGCGGTGGTTGATCTGCCATTGAAGCGAAGCGAACTTGGCTGGTTTATTCTTCACCTCTTTGAACCATTTAATAGGTCTCAGAGATTCCAATGGTACATTGAGGTGTCGTGCCCAGCGATCTTCGATGCGATCACTTAGTTTTATTCTAGTCCTGAGCATCCGATAGGTCGCTTTCACATCGAGTGTATGGAGGTACCGGTGTCTGGGTGTTTCGTTTCTTGTTGGAATCTTCCATCTCCACTCTGCCACATTCATGGGAAGATCCTGGATTGGCACTTCTGGCCAGAAAACCACCTAGGTTTCATTTGCACTTAAGACTCTTACTATGTGGAGTATCTTGAAATCAACCCAAAAGACTTCGTCTGGCACCCCCTTGATCAGCTGATTTTGCGGTGTACGATACAACAGGTTTATCAACACCTCCCCCGGTCTAACAGATATTACTTGCCCCACCCGGGCTGCATGCCCCCTTAGCACAACCCAATCGCCTTCCTCTACAGTTGGTCCCCGCCGAAGGGTCTGCACCCAAGCGAGTGGGAGAGCAAAAAGAATCTGATCTAGCCTTTCCCCTATTTTGTGGCAGTGGGGGAGCTTGTCTCTTAGCTGCGCCTCTGAGAACCAGTCAATTTTTGATTGGTCCCATAGATGTTCGATTTTTGTGACCCCGTTTTTAACCCAACCATCCCACGGGCGACATGAGCTGGGGAACACCCGCCCATGCGGATCCGTTATCCAGCGATTCCCAAAAAGTGGTTGACGAGCCACTTCTTCCCATCTTTCCGGAAATGGCCTATCCGGGAGCGGGAGCCTCCTCCAGTCTTTGATTAATTTGGCCCAGAAGCCGTCTTTTTGCAGGTCCATGCGAGCCCCTGCACGATATGAGTGTGGTCGCGGTCTGGATAGGGGCCTGGGGATTGTCCAGAAGACGTCGTCTAGCCAGGCCATGGGATGTACTGAAGGTGCGGCCGTTGGGGCCAGCCTCGACAGTTGTTCCCAGGCAAGAGGTTCCCAAGTGAGGCCGGGGGTGCAGATAAGTCTTTTCAACCATTGGAGAGAGAGAGCGCGGCCGTTTGGGTGACAGGGTCAAGAATGCCCAGGCCTCCTTGCGTCTTTGGTTGTACCACCGCATCCCAGGCAACGGGACTGATGGTGTGTTGGGCTTCATGGTTGCGTCTCCACAGAAAGGCTGCCACCTGTTGCTTTAGGGACTTTGACGCCGTCTTCGAGAGGGGCCAGATTGTTGACTTATACCAGATGGATGCCAGCACCACATTGTTTATAACTAGGGCCCTGCCCATGAGTGATGTGTGTTTATCTTTCCAGGTACCCAACTTTTGCAAGGCTGGGTGCATTATCCAATTATCATTGCTAGGTGGCTTACCTTGGGCCGAAAGCGGGATTCCTAAGACCCTAATGGGGGTATCTAAAGGGAGCCATGTCACCTTGGGTTGCTCTGGCGGCCTTCCACCGTCATGATGCATGCACCATCCCAATGTCTTGTTGCCCCAATTGATTGCCATATCAGATAAGGCGCAGAAACGGGCCATTAGCCTTTTGATTTCCTCCATATTCCGTGTTGAGGCTTCTATCATTAGTGTGAGGTCATCTGCAAATAAAGAACATATTTGTATTGCTTCTTTGCTCCAACCTTCGCTAGGCCAAAGAAATGGTCCACTCATGAAATATCAGCCAGTAGTCTCTTACGATCTCCATTCATTACTAAATTAGTAAGGGGGCAATTTTTTTCTTTGATGGGAACTGGGTGTCATTTTGCAGTCATACATGCGCGCCTTATCTGCGTCTTCCTTTCCGTTTCAGACCATCACATTACCCGGCGCTAGCTGGGAAAGGTACTGGTAAGAAAGGCCACCAGTTCTATTTATCGGCGGCTGGCCTTCCATTTCAGGCCAGCACTTTACCCGGCGCGCCTCTGAAAAAGTAGCTGGGAAAGGTACTGGTGGTTTAAGGTCAATGCTCCGACTACTCGTGCTTTTATACGCCTTTCCTTCGTCCAAGAGTCCTTCTTGCCTCCCTAATCCTGTGGTCTATTTTGGATGGACCTGACTGATCATCCTCTGTTCTCTGGCCCTGAGTCAACTTGCAACCTTTAGATTTTCATCATCTTTCGCTGAGGGCTTGTCACACAGATGCCCTAGCAAATCTACTACAGCCATCACCGCTGGTTCAACTGCTGATACGGTCATCTGCTGAACATAACGCACCCTGATAATGAATGTATACGCCCTTAGCTACCGCCTTAACCCGAAAACAAGGCACGTACCTTGTATATGAATACAAGGTACATACCTTGTAGAACGAATTTTAGGGTGCAACTTTCCTAAGCCAAGGGGGGAAAAAAAAAAGAGTATATCGGAAATATTAGTAACAATATGATACCAGGACGCGACTGCAGCGTGAAGTTCTTTTTTTTTTTTTTTTTTCAAAAGAACACATCGACTTCGCTGCGTGCTCATGATCCGGCATCCATTTGAACGCTAGAGAGAGAGCGAGAGAGCGAGCGAGCGAGAGAGAGAGAGAGAGAGAGAGAGAGAGAGAGAGAGAGAGAGAGAG